AGTTCTTACAGCGCTTTTTGTAGGTTTCCAAAAATGTCTAATGCATTTGGCAGTTTTGTGCATTTTCCAACGGTTTTGTCGATTTTTTAACTTATTTGAACTCATTCCTATCCTTTTCACGCTATTTCGATCTCTTATGTTTTTGACGCTCTTAAAAATCTAGTGCTTTCTACTTCCAGCTTTTTTTTTGGTGATTTTCAGAACCTACTGAGACCCTCTGACCTTGAATAATTTTAGCATCTGTTGAAGATTTTGAAACATTTTTTTTTCAGTAAAACGTTTTTTTTTTAGTCTTTTCCAGTGCTGTTGAAACAATTCAAATCCTTTTAGAGCACTTTTAAAGTTCTTACAAAACTTTTAGCACTTTCCGAAGATATTGATACATCTCCCAACCTTTTTTGCCACCTCCGTAACGCTGTCTTGAGCCACTTTGAACTAATACAGAAAACTATTTTTCAATACATTTTCTATGCTTGTAACTCTTTTAAAGATGTTCCAATGCTATTGACTATTTTTACAAACCTACTGATTCGCTTTACCAGCATTTTTTGTCGCTTTTACAATGATTTTAATGTTTCTTCACGCTTTTCCAACGATTGTCCGACATATTTTCTCTAATTTCTTAGCACTTTTCAACGCATTTGATGTTTCACAGTAATGTTAACCTTTTTTAGCTATTTTGAAACAAGTTTCAAGGTATTTCCAGTTCTCTGAAATACATTCAAAAACTTTTCCGATAATTTTGACAATTTCCGACGCTTTGACATACGTGCGGTTCTTTTGACACATCTTCGACGATCTTAAAATAATTTCAGCACTATTCAAGAGCTTTGACGATTTGCGACATTTCAATACTCTTAAATGTGTAATTCCCTAAAATTTGTGATATTTTACCAACGTTTTGAGACATTTCCGTAGCGTTTAACCTTTTTAATGTTGTTGACGTGTTCGCTAACATTTTAAGCCGTTCCCATCGTATTTGACGGTTTTTCAGTGCTTTTGTAACGAAATTCTAAGGAATAAAAATTAAAACACAGTAACAGCAAAATAATATTTTATTGAAACTGTTTATTGACAAAAACAACTAGAAAATACCTGTAATTAAGGGCAAACATAAATAAAAACAGAATATGTAGGTCACAGATTGTACATGGGTATACTATTAGACTTATTAATAATAAACAACATGAGTATATTGAAATATACGTATTAAAAAAATTGTAATATGAGAATATTACAATATGAGATACAAAATGTAAAATACACCTGCAAGATAAAGTTGGCCCTATTAGTATGAAGTGTAAAAAAAGCGAAAATATTGTCCATTATCCAACTCACCTTGTGATGTAACACAACTGTGATAAATAGTAGTTTTGATTAATAAAATGATTAACGTTTTGATGAATATTGGTAACTTTTTGAACAACAAAGATACTTGATAAACTTAACCTAACGTAACTAAATAATGAAATGAATTATAATTTATACACCTTACTAAATACGATTGACGAGAAAAAGTGTCTTCCAAAACGCTCTACATATATCAGACAGTATAATTTTCATTACTTTTTGTAAGTACAACTACAGAAATAGTTCTGTTGTAAATACTTCGATCGAGAATACATTTCTCGGCAGTTTTTTCACCTTTTTTAACGGCAGTTCAAGCTTTTTCTTTGCGCTATTGACGATTTTCCAACTTTGCGAAGCATTTTCGGTGCTTTTAACAATTTTTAACGATCCTTATGCTTTTCTGTAAGTTCTGTACAGACACGTTTATGTCTTATATATTTCGATCTAGGATATATATACCTAATCTTTTTTCCCATGCTTTTGGCGCTTTCTCCACGATTGTCTAGTTCTAGAAAGTATTTTCCGCTGCTTTTGACTTTTTTACAATCTTCAAACGCTTATGCAATTTTAAGATTTTTTGACGGCCCTCAACTCTTTCTTGCGATGTGACGATTTCTGTAATTTTCATTTGTGAAGCATTTTCAGACTTTTAACAATTTTCAACGATCCTTATGCTTTTCTGTAAGTTCTGTACAGACACGTTATGTTTATAGATTTCGATCTATGATATATACCTCAATCTTTTTTCCCATGCTTTCGCCTCTTTCTCCACGATTTTCTAGTTCTAGAAAGTATTTTCGCTGCTTTTGACTTTTTTCTACAATCTTCAAACGCTTTATGGCAATTTTAACGATTTTCCAACGACCTGAGCTTTTTCTGTAAATTTTGTACCGACATATTTCTGTTTTATTTATTTCGATCGAGAAAACATTTCTCGACATTTTTCACACTATTTTGGTGACCTTCCAATCGTTTTATTGGCACTGTTGACGATTCCTTGACAACTTTCCCAACTTTATGAAGAATTTTTGAAGTTCTGTACCGACATGTTTATGGATTACATATTTCGATCTAGGATATCCCTCTAGACCATTTTCCCACGTCTTTGCCGCTCTCTCGACGATTTGTAATACTAGGAAGCATTTCCGACGTTTCTGACATTTTTTCTACAACTTTCAAACGCTTTGACGACACTTATAACAATTTTTCAACGATTCCGGCGCTCTTTCGGTAAATTATGTAGACATGATTGTTTTATAGATTTCGATCTAGCACATATCTAGGTATTTCCGTCGTTTTTTTCTACAATATTCAAACCCTTTACGATACTTTTAACGATTTTTGATCCTGACGCTTTTTTGCAAATTCCTCTCGACCCATTCTCACACGTCTTTGGCGCTTCCTCAACGATTTTGTAATACTAGGAAGCATTTCCGATGTTTTGACGATTTTTTTCTACAATCTTCAGACGTTTTTTAAGACACTTTTAAAGATTTTTCAACGATCCTGACGCTTTTTCTGTGAATTTTGTACAAACATATTTACGGTTTATATATTTCCATCTGGGATGTATCTCTCGACCTTTCTCACACGCCTTTGACATTCGTTGACGATTTTGTGATACTAGGAAGCATTTCCGTAGTTCTATGAAGCATTTTCGACTCGTTTGGAGGATTTACAACGGTTCTTACATTTTCTCGACTCCTTCACTATGCTTTTGACCCATTTCAAACACTTTTGGAAAATTTAGGATGCCTTTTAGTCGACTTTTCAATGAATTTGGTACTTTCTCGACGGTTTTACAATGCCGATACTAAGCTCTCGACCTTCCCCAATGCTTTTACAACGCTTTTGAAGTATGTCTCCGGACTTTTGAAGAGATTACAACGGTTTTTTACATTTTCTCGGCTCCTTCTTTATGCTTCTGACGGTTTTTCAACACTTGGAAATTAATAGGACTTTTTAGACGCGTTTATAACGACGATAACAATGCCTCGACGGTTTTACAATGCCTATAAAGATAAATGTCATATACAACGCATCAACAAAAGATTGAAAAAATCATCGAGTAAGCGTTAAAAGCATTAAAAAGCTCTAGAAAGCGTGATTGGTATTGAAGAAGTATCAAAAGGGTTGGGAATGCATCGAGGACGTATTATGCAATTGTAAAAGCATCCAAAAAACGTTCAACACATTGGAAAAGCGCCTATAAAGCATAATTTACCTTGGAAAAGTATGGAGAAAGCCTAAAGCGTTACTAAAAGGTGATATTTAATGCAGAAGAAATCACATTTTGTCTACAATATGGCATCAGAGTTCACAGGAGAGAATTGCTTTGTAGGGAATGTGCCTGAGAGGAAACTAACGATCAGAGTTATTGCAAATAGGTTAGGATCCAGGAAAATAAAAATTGTAATGCCCATTTATGATTACAAACGGTACCATGATTAGATATTTATAAAAATCTTGGGTATACCAAAGTTATATCGAGAAGTAAAGAGAAGGTCCTCATTTTTGTACCTCATGATCTCTTTCTTTTCTGGTCTTACTGAAACGCCACTAAAAGAGCACTGAAACCAGAATTGTTAATAAGCTCATTTAGCATTACGGCCAAAGCATTAAAAATAGTGTATAAATCATAATTCTTATAAAAAACAAACACTTAAATTTTAGAACTTACAAACTAACAGTTAAACAGTGAATAACAAAACTAAAACACCACTTAGAATTTGTATTCGAAGTGCATTTTGAGTAAATATTTTATGTTGACTTGAGCCACATCATAAACAATATATCTGAAAAGGTGTTAAGGAAAATATACTAGTTATTTAGAAAATCTGGCATATAACTGCTAAAAAAAACCATATTATAAATGGGGACTTTTTTTAATTTGGGTAATTTTTTTTCCGTTTATTGTCTAGGATTCTTCTTCACAATCTATTATCAATAAGCTTCATAAGATTACCAGCTTATCGAGGTCGACAGGAACCTAACAAATTATAACTAGATCTCTTTGTTCCGTTTCCCATCCTTTTGGGTTGGAAAAGCGAAAAGCATAATTTTTTATGCTTTTGGGATTTTTTTTGCGATTTTCACCGTTTCTGAAGAATTTTCAATGCTTGTATTGTTTTACGACAATTTTCCAACAATTTGACGATTTTTTTGAGAAGTTAATGACTGTCTTCTGGATGTCAATATCACTTTTTGTTGATAAGTCCAAATATTTTCTTAGAATTTATCTTTCTAATAAGTATTTTTATGTTAATCAATGTTCTAATTGTATCTTCAAAAGAAATATCCATTTCTTTGTCTATTTACTGTTTATTTGATACTTTCTCGGTGCTTTTCTAATGCTTTTGACGATTTATGATATGACATTTCTTTGAATTTTTTTTTTTTGAGTTCATGATTGTCTTTTGGATCTCCTTATCATTTTTTCATTGATAGATCCTTAGAATTTTTCCTTATGAATAGATTTTCCTTAGATTTCCTTAGAATTTTTCTTTTAAAAGCATCCAATATAGAAACCTTAAAATTTCTTTATAGATTTTCGCACTGGGAAAGTTAATTTTACTGAAACTAACAGCATTATCCAAACGTATTCCCTACAATATCAAAATATTAGTTTTATTCCCAAACATGTCCATTCTTTAGACTTTTCCAATGCGTTTGACGCATTTTCGACGATTTTCCAACCCATTCAAAGCACTTCCAATGCTGTTGAGACTTTCCGACGCTTCGACTATTTTTTCGAATGCTTCTGAAGCATTTTCACTGCTTTTCACTAATTTACGACAATTTTCCAAAGCTTCTGACGCATTATCGACGCTTTTGGTCATTTCTCGTACAGATGTTTCATTGAACAGAGCTTGTGAGAAGTTTTGACTGTTTTCTGGATGTTAATCCAGATGTATTAATCTTCAAAGAGAATATCCCATCCCTTTGTCTATTTGCTGCTTATTTGATGATTACTCGGTGCTTTTCTAACGCTTTTGCCGTTTTTTTCGACGACTTTTTAATGTCCGAAAGCATTTAACGCTTTTTAGACGATTTTCCAACGTTTCTGAAGCATAAATACATTAGGTTTTTTTTATCTCTTTTCATATTTTTCACTCTTTCGATGTTTTCTCGATGCTTTCAATAAAATTATTGTATTTTTAACGCTTTCTAGCTTCTGATGGCTTTTAACGGTTTTGACCCATCTTCCTTCCTTTTTTTGATTTTCAAACGCTTTTGGACCGTGTTTTAGGCTTTTTTGATATTATGTAATGCTTGTAATGTATGCCTTTTCAGTAATTTTGACGCATTTTTACCCTTTTTGATGCGTTCTCGTCGCTTTTCAATTATTTTGATGCTCAATTCATTATTAAGCCCTTTTTTTCAACACTTCTGCTTTGGATAAGAGGTGTCTTTTATTTTTTAATTGTTTGATCCTTCTGATGCTACATCGCTTTTTTCCCATTTTTGACATTGATTTGTCCAATAATTTTGACATTCTTGAAGCTATCTATAGCTTGTGAGCCTTTTCGACTCCTTTTAAAGCTTATTATATTTCTCTCTACCGTTTCTAGTCGCTTATACATCACTTCAGGTGCTTTTTTGAGACTTACTGACATGCTTTTAACTTCATTAATTGGAATCTTTCAATGCTTTCTCGTAGCTTTTGTTGTTTTGTCGATGCTTTAACGCTTTTCGACGCTTTTAACGATTATCCACATTTTCTCGTCGCTTTTCAAAATTTTTTAGACACTTTATTTTCCGTTTTAAAGCATTTTACGCTTTCTCAATGCTTTTAAGAAGTTTTAGAGAATTTTGACTTTCTTTTGACGCTTTCTTGTCTCTTTTAGAACTCTTTGATACTATTTTGGTGCCTTTGGAACTTTTACGGCCCCCTTAATGTTTTCTCGTCCACTTTTTCAACACTGACGCTTTTGCATGTTTATTGCATTATGGTGTATTTTGGTGCTTTCTCGTAGCTTATATAGTTTTTCGATGATTTACATTGCATTTAAGACACTTTAGACGCTTTTTTCCTTCTTTTATCTACTTTCGTCTCTTTGACAACCCTTTACAACGCTGTTTGGTGCCTTTGGAACTTTTTCGACTCTCTTGACGTTTTCTCGACTATTTTTCAACACCATTGTTACTTTCCTATGTTTTCTCGTCACTCATTTCATGATTTGGCCCATTTTGGATACTTCCTTATCTTTTTTTAATCATTTTACGCTTTTTAAAATGCTGTTGAAATATTTTGGTGTTTTCCCGTAACTTTTATAGTTATTCGATGATTTCTAATGCCTTTAAGACACTTCACGACGTTTTTTTTTCCGATTTTTGATTAATTTCTATTTTTATATATTACATTCGGTTTTATAACGTCTTACGACGTTGTCCGACTCCCAACCGCCACTGTATTCGGTTCTTGAGTTAGGTCTTCGTCCAGATTTCGAGCGCTAATCGCTTTCCTAACTCCCAGGTTCCAGCTCTGTGGTGGTCTTCCTCGTTTCCTCTTCTCTGGGGGTTGCCACATCATCGTTTTTTTAGCAATCTTTCGTCCCCCATTCGGCTCACATGTCCATACCATATGAGCTGTTAATTTCTATTTTTCTATTCACTTATTCAATTATTTGAGCGCTTTTTCAACACTTGTCATAAAGACTAGTTGGCCACATTACTGTCGACAAAGTCGGCAAAATGTTAAGGCTCCAACAAGCTTTAGAACTCATCGAAAAAACATCTAGCAATCGTATCCTTCATTATTATGGGTGTTGTCAGTTTATACTTCTCTGAATGTCTTATTACATGACCAAAATATCTCATCATTCAAGCCTTTATCGTTTTGATAACATTTAAGAGAGTTTTGGTTGACCAAAATTATCCGGGACTGCCCTTCAAACTATTTTTAAACTCCTAAGTCCGTGTTATATTTTGAAATCATATAATCTAATAATAATAATAACCCTAAAAACCCAAAAACAACTACCTAATCTACCTATCCATACGCGTTTTAAATTATATTCGGAAAAAGGATACTCGTTATACAACAAACTAGATTTGGCATCGCTCGATACTCCTTTTCCAACAGGCACTTCAATATCACCGATCTTCTTCACCACTGAAGGATCCGGATGTGTCATTCCCACACCTTTGCAACTGTGCTTTCCTTTCGGCAACTTTTCAATGTAATCGGCTTGCAATCTTTCGTGCATCTACAAACGATGATTTTAATTAAACAAATTATTGTACAGAGAATAGAAAAGTATGATACAGGTGCACACAATATCGGAAATTCTTGGTTTACAACAGTTTTAAGAAATTGAGAAGCTAAAAGATGAAGAAAGAGGTAGTTATAAACATTGAGGTTATGTTAGGTTAGGTTAGGTTATACGAAGTACCAAAAATCTATAAGTACAACAATAACTGATAATATATTCACGATATTGTGTGCAAACAAGCAACAAAAAAAACACAAATTGCTTAAACCAGAAAACTGATAATTATTGCAAAAATTCTAAGAATAGAGGTGGAAACGACTATTTGAACCGAGAGCGATTCCGAATCAGGCAAACGATAAAATTTTAATATTGAAGGTACTTACATTTCCTAGAGCTACATCGCAGAGCAGCATCAAACCCAACGGACTGTTGACGTTGGTGCAACAATAATTGGCTGACTTGGACACCATATCGGCGAAGTATATACCTTTGCCGAACATGTAACCGGTGACGGGCGCTTCCGGTGGAGCGATGCGAAGACCTTGAGATAGAATACCGGCGAAGTTGGTGACTCTGGAACCGTGCCACAGCAATTTTCTGTTCGGAAGCTTGCGGAATGGTTTGTGGCGCTTTTCTTCTCCTAGAAAGATTCGATAATTTATTTGTTTAATCAAAAATACGCACATATTAATTAAGTCAAAATATAAATTAAGACGAATGGGTCGACAATATTAACACTATACAGTGTGTCTAATTAAATCCGTACCATATGAGAAACTTTTATTCTTGGTTTTATGGAAAAAAGTTTTTCTTTAAAAAAAGCTCGGAACTATCTAAAACCTAGTAGAATACAAACATCAAATATTAAATTTCTCAGCCATATGCGAGGTTTTTCAAAAAAATAGTTATTTTTCTTGTAAAATATTGAATATTTCAAATATCCGGTACACGGGACCAATATATTTGCAAAAAAAGGAGCGTTTTTCCACATTAGTGAGCAAAAATTAAAACCAATAATGATAAAAAAACGATAAAATTAGGTATAACCATATTCTTACTCTCAAAGAGCGAGAAACACTGTACATACTATATACATAAAAACACATATTTACGAACAAAAAAAAATGTTGAAAACAAGAAAACCAACTTTAGAGCAGTCCAATTGTTTAGAACTAAACTATTGAACTTTTTGGACACTTTCTTGTCTTTGTTCAACGCATCATACGCTTTCTCAACGCATTTGGAACCTTGTAAGTATTTTTTTCGTAGCTTCTGTCGTTTTCTCGATGCTTCCTAATACTTTTGAAATGGGGCTTGGCTTCCTAATGCATTTTCTCTTCTTTTGGAGCTTTCTTGTCTTTTTTACGAATCTTTATAAAGCTTTTTTGGCGCCTTTGGAATTTTTTCGACTCTTGATGTTTTCTCGTGACTTATTCAATGATTTTGGCCCTTTTTGGACGCTTTCTAATCTTTTTTCAACGCATTTTAAATTTTCTCAGCGTTTTTGGAACACTTTGGTGTTTTTTCGTAGCTTTGGTAGTTTTGTAGATGCTTTCTCTAATGCTTTTGAGACATTTTGGACACTTTTTCCCTTCTTTTGGCGCTTTTTTTTGTCTCATATGACTCTTTACGATGCGTTTTAGTGCCTTTGAAACTTTTTAAACTCTTTCTTGTCTTTTTCCAGTCCTTACTACGCTTTCTCAACGCTGTATAAACCTTGTCGAGTTTCACCCGCAAAGTAATATTTCTAAACGCATATTGAAAAAACCATTAATTGCGAAAATAAAGAATTACATACAACTTAATACGAATTAAATGTTTATTAGGGATGTCACTGATTATTTTTTCCGATTTTAAAAGAAATTTTCTTCTACACAACCTGCTCTTGTCTTGTAAAATATTTAATATGTCAAAATTCGGCTCGAAGGATCAAAAAATGCGAAAGAGGAGCCAGGGAGGAAAAGGAAGTTTTTCACCTTGTTAGGTAAAAGTTAAAGTGAGAAACAAATTTATTGTCCAAAATGCCAACTGTTATTTTAGCTTTTTCCTGGAGTGATATTAATTGCAAACATACAAAAGACAAGTTTATTGAAAAGTAAAACCTGTCCTCTTATTTTTAATGCTAAATCCAAATTCGCAGCCAGTTTTTTATATCTGCTGCAGTTTTCGATACATTTATGTCCGAGTGGACAAACAGAGCACAAAATAAATGATTTTTTTTTAATTTATATTACTTAATAAGCACAATTATTAGGTAAAATGTCGAGAAAAGGATATAGAGGAAGATATCTAGAAGCATTTATCCGATTGAAGTTGTTATTAGAAATGTAAAAAATAAAATAACACACAAAACGTAGAATTTTACAGTCAATACGAACTAAATGCTTATTAGACGTCACTGACCAGTTCTTTTTAAGTTTAAGCATAAAAATGTTTCGAAAAACTTATCTTGTAAAATTTAAATATTTCAAAAATCCGGCTCGCGGGACCAAAATATTTGCGTAAGAGGAGAGTTTTCCATTTTGTTATATAAAAGTTGAGAAAAAAATTAATTACTAGAAATAAATCTGAAAAAAGCAGGAAAACATCGGTACTTACTGCATATAAAAAAATACATAATGACGGAAAAAATATGTAGGAAACAAGAAAACCAACTTCTTCCCGCTTCTTAGATCTAAACTATCATATATAGGCATTATAATTAATTAATGTATACTGAAAAAGTGTTTTACCTTGGCGTTTGACAGTATAAACCTCATCGATAACCAATTCATAAGTATTATGGGTAGCTGCATGGGTATTCTTGACGTACTCTTGAATAATTTGGAATTCCTCGCTTGCTCTCTCCAAGACATCGATCTCTGTATTGAGCTGCTTGTAGTAGCTGTCGACTGTATGTTCTGAACCTGATGTTTTCATCAAGTTGTAGGCGATTTCTAGTTCCAGCAAGCTGTCCAACATTTCGATTTTTTGCTAAAAAGTAAGTTTACATCAATCTATAGATACTATTTCTCTCAAGAAGCCTCGCGTCTAACGAGTCTAATAAAACAATTTCTAGACGAAAATCTACTCGTAACGTTGATCGTACAGTAATTCTGCAACAATTCGCTGAACGAACAGAATCACAAATATCTGGTAATACTGGAGATAGAAATGGGAAATGGGCAAGAAATCGGGTGATTTACGATGAAATAAAAACAAATATCCACTTTTTGTCTTAAAATAAAAATTATTTTATTTTGTCTTATTTTAAATGAAAAAGTTTCAAAAACTGTTCTCTTCTTGTTTTTAATAGTTAATATCTTATTTAATATCTCAAAATATGGGTCGCAGGACCAAAAATAGTGCGAGAATTTTTTCCAGCTTTTTATGTGACAGTGAAGGTGAAAATGAAATTGATTGGTCGAAGTAATCAGCTGAGTAACTAACACTAGATGAAAGCAATCCAAAGCGAACGAATGAGCTGGCAAGTTTTGGCTTCGGTATTTTCTTTATCTAATACCCTGAGAAGGAAAAATCCATCAACAGGAAATATTGTATAGCGAGAATGGTGTCTTTGAAGGAAGAAACTGTGAAAAAAGGTGCCAAATGAAAGAGAAAAATATGTTATTTCACTAAGACAATGCATCCTGCAACAAGTTACTGGCCACGCTGACAGTAATACTTCTGATATTTACCCTATCTGTCGTATTCTTTACATTTAGCAACTAAAGCTTGAACTAGAGTGCTCAAAAAAAATTCCAGAGAAAACAAATCCAAAGACAAATCGCTCTCTTAAAAGGAATATTATGAAAGACTAGAAATTCAAGGAATTTAAGAACATTCTTACAAATGAAATCGTAGGCTTCCACGGCCAGAGTCAGAATTACAGTTTATTCGTCTTCCGGGTTTGGACCGTTGTCATTTGTGAGTGACCCAAAAGTGGGTTCATCTCGACGTTTCGCTACAATTGTATGTAGCTTCTTCAGGAGAACAAAGAAAAAGAAAAAGAAAACAAAAGACAGGAAGATGGGTAGTTAGCAACGGTAACTCAGTTACTCAACACAACCAGAGGCGAATACTAACTACCAAGACGGGCATTTGGTCACAGTAACTCAACTACTTGACGCAGCCAGAGGTGAAAACCAAATGCCAGGACAGGGATCCACGTCCAACAACTCAGAACTTGCAGATGGCCAAGTTCTTATCTAAAAACCCTTGTCGCCAACGGTTACTCCAAGTCCACAATTCAAAATATTACACACCGACATCTACATCCCCCTTTACACCCTAGGACGACAAATTCAGAATCTTCGGGTAATACTCCTGTGGCTTTTCTTCCGTATATTTGAAGTGTCACTGATAGGATTGGCAAAATTCTTCGCAAAGAAGGTATCAGGACTACTTTTCGACCACCCAAGAAAATCTCACAATACCTACCCTCTCCTAAGGACCCATTACCGCCCCTATCTTCCTGTGGTGTCTATTCTATTCCTTGTTCATGTGGACATGTGTATATTGGCGAAAACTGGTCGTTCCGTCAAAACTCGGATTCAAGAGCATCAAAGATGCATTCGATCAGGTCTTTTCTCCCATTCTGCAGTTGCAGAACACTGCCAAAAAACCGGTCATTCCATATTGTTCGAAAAAACCCATATTATTTCTAAGAGCCCTTCTTTTATTCCAGGAAAATCCGCGAATCTCTAGAGATCCGAAAAAATCCACATAATATCAATCGAGAGGAAGGATACTTCTTGTCTCCATCTGGAATCTGTCTAGAGCCGCCGTCCAGTCCCGCTACCACGATGCAGCCACATGATTGGCCAGCGCGCGCTTCTTGACGTTCGCGCCACGGAGTGTGCCGATACGTCCTGACACGACAGGTCACCGCGACTATAAATAGAGCGGTAGCGGAGTAATCGTCGGATTCACTCCCCGCCTCTGGACGCGTTAGTGTTCTGAGCTGTTGGACGTGAATCCCTGTCCTGGCATTTAGTTTTCACCTCTGGCTGCGTTAAGTAGTTGAGTTACTGTGACCAAATGCCCATCTTGGTAGTTAGTATTCGCCTCTGGTTGCGTTGAGTAACTGAGTTACCGTTGCTAACTACCCATCTTCCTGTCTTTTGATTTCTTTTTTCTTTGTTCTCCTGAAGAAGCTACATACAATTGTAGCGAAACGTCGAGATGAACCCACTTTTGGGTCACTCACAAATGACACGGTCCAAACCCGGAAGACTAATAGACTATAACATTCAGACAATTCACTCACTCAACATTAAAAAATATGTAAAAATACCTTAAATAGCTAAAAGTAGTGATTATAACATTTAATATAAAATAAATATGTATTTCAGAATGTCATTTCGGTTCAAATATTTTTTTATTGTAAATGAAAAAAAAATTACTGTTTTTTTAATATCTCAAAATCCGGCTCTAAGGACCAAAAGAAATATGAAACAGCTTCTCCATCTTTTTATGTAAAAGTAGAACTTAATAAAGCAGGAACTGTTTAGTCTTTTTTGTAACACTCGCACATTTAACAAAAGAAAAACTTGTCTTTTTTTCTCGGAATAGGACCTCACAAATTGTTTGTTGTGTCGTTATACCAACAAAATACATAACAGCTACATAAAAAATGTTTGAGATCTTGTTCCAGAAGAAGTCATTTCCTGTCCCAAGAATACGTCATTATTTTCTTGGCTAACCAGTGCTGGACGTCAGTTAAAAAGATTTTAAATAGTTGTAAATAGTAACTGATATATAAATTTGTAAACAGTTCATCTGTTTAATATTTTATTCGCTTTTTTCTTGTTGTCATTTGTAACCTGTCAACAACTGTCGTAACAACTTGTCGAAATTAGTTTCTATTACTCAAACAATTTAAAACTGTCAATTTTGTCAATTAATTTAGTTCTCTGTTGCATAACAAGGTGTGACAAGGTGGAATAACGCTCCCCTTAAGCAAATATTTAGGTCCTTCGAGCAGGATATTGTTCCTTCAGTTGAGTTGAATTTAACACTATTTAAATAATTATGTTGAATAGCGAAGTAGTACAATAAAAACTTACCTTGATAACTTCGGGATCTTTCAAGACTGGTGGATCGTCGACGCCGAAAGAGTGTGGGATGAAAGTGTAAAATCTGTTCGAGGCATCTATAAATCTGGAATTGTCTGCTTTTTCGTTTATAAGAGTTTGTAATTCGTTCAAAACTCCAAAAGCTTTTTGTATCTGTGCTTTACTCAATTTACCTATAAGAAGGAAACATTTACGATGGTGTTAAGTTACATAGATTGATATATTTTTCGTTAGATATTACTACTTTGTTATCTATGTATGTAGACAACACTGTGTTTATGGAAATAGAAGGTAAAATCATATAGAAAGACAATTTCATTAACGAACAAACGGTGGAAACAAGTTGGATTTTTAAATTTCGAGACTACGAAGTTTGGCAGTCTTGACTTGGTAGTCCTTAACGATGCACACTAGGTGTGAGTTGCATTAATTAACTAGTTTTTAATATACTACAGGTGTTTCACAATTACACTATCATCATCAGTTATGCGTATCAAGAATATCAGTCTCAAAAAGTTTCAACAGTTTGTTAAGAAATTAAATTATGGACATCCATAACGAACATCTTTCCAAGTGATATTGAAATTCCGAAGAAAAAATTGAGTTTATTTAAAATGAAAAAGGCCAATTTTCAAATTGGCAATTTCATGAAGAGGATGTGTATACGCTGCTACACACAAATCCTGGAAAAAATTCCAATAAAAAGATCACACACTCATAGTAAAGCTCCAATTTCTTGGTTTGATGATGAACTAATAGTAATGCGAGAAAATCTTTCCACAGTCAAGATAATTGCTTATGTTACAAAGGGATATACTGAGTATAAAAAGTTAAAAATTCTACAAATGAAAATGTAACCATAGTTTTTTGAAAGATGTACACTCTCCTTGCGACTCTATTTTAATTCCTGTTAATGATACTGAAATCAGGATGTTTTATGTTTTGCATAGATTGAAAAATTCACACAATTCAGGATTTTTATTTCTTAAACAAAAAATAATTGTGGAAACAATCAATATAATTATTGACAAATTAATTATACCTTATAATAATTGTATTACTGAAGGGATTTTCCCAGATGTATTAAAAGTAACAAAAGTGTTACCAGTATTCATAAAGGTAGCTTTAGATCAAATTGGAAATTATTTTTTCATTTTTGGCAAAATTTTTGAGACTATTCTAAATGTTCGTTTGATAGAATATCTAGAAAAACACAAAATACTTCACTGTAATGAATATATCTTTAGAAAAGCACTACACTAACTATTGGGACCGTGCAAGTTCGGAACAGCGACACCTGGTGTCGTAAATCTGCAAAATTTACTGCGCTTTCATGTTAGATCGAGGTTACCGGATAACTGTCACGGACGTAGCCCCAAAAAAGAATAAGAAGAAAACGTAAGATTGAGGTTATGTCGGTATGTTATTAAAAGGTAAACATTGTATGTAGTGTAAATACAAATAAATATATTATTAAATTACAGCATTACTGTTAATATGGATGCAATAATAAAAACTGGATATGAGAAAGTAAATCACCAAATAACTTTTCAACCAAGCACGAGTCAAAGGGAAAAGCTTTAGTAGTGGCAAATGTCAAAAAGAATGGAAGAATGATGTGGAAGAATTAAGAAAAATAAATTACCATCAATAATGCTAATGCATAAATGCATAAATTAGCAGGTTAAGCCCATGATATCATCATATTGGTTTGAACAATTAATTCTTTCCCTGTAAACTTTTGGACAGCGAATATTTCTTAATGCATCTTTAGAAAAACTTGAACTTGATGCATTTTTGTAAACTTCAAAAAAATAAAATTTAAACATTAAACTTGATTTTTGGGTTAAAATGAACTCTAAGTAAGTGTTATGAAACTAAAATTTAAACTTAAAAGTGAACTTTTATTTATTATTTATTTCAAACTGACTTTAAAATCGGGCGCAAGAATAATGCATAATTTAGGTTATGTTACTTATGCTTTTTTATGATATAAATGCACTTTTCTCTTTGTAGTAATTTGTGCTTCGAAGTTGGGAAACGAATAAAACTTAAATTGACAATTTTTTGTTGTATTTTTACAATTCTATGAATTTTGCAGTAAACAATGCAAGATTTCTCCGCTACTCGCGCACGATCGTTTCTCGTATCACATCCAAGTACTTGCACGTCGCCAATACAGAAAATTGTGAGAGATATAATTGATGGTTGGAGTAAGGTCATTTTGTGTCTTTGACATTGTGTGACGTATCCAAAACTTTTGACTGTGTTTTGCATGTATTACTCTTGGAAAAAATACATAAATGCGGTATTAGGGGAAACATTCTTAATCCATTTAGATCATACCTAAGAAATAGAAAACAGACAGTTTTTCTTAATAACAGCTATTCTGAGACTAACACTGTCAAATATGGGGTTCCACAAGGTTCGATATTAGGACCCACTTTGTTTCTTATTTATCTGAACGATTTATTTCACTATACTTTTCCTATTGAATGTGTTTGCTTTGCAAATGATACAATTCTCATTAATACTGATATTAATCAGCATAATTTAAATATTTAAAATAAATAGTGATACCCAGGGAGCAAAAAACTGGTTTTTACATAATGGACTGAAGCAAAATGAAGGGAAAAATCAGAATTTGATTTTTAGTTTCGATTGGAAGTATATCTCAAGAAATAGTGTTAAACAATTAGGAATCTTTCTAGATGATAATTTGGATTGGAGTGGTCATACAGATTACTTAAGTTATAGACTTGCTAAAAGTATATTTTTAATATGCAACATAGTTTATATGATTCCTTAAAATACCATTAGACTGTGCTACTTTGCTTTACTATTTCATAGCCATTTACAGTACGGAATAACTGATTGGGGCAATTCTTCGCACGCAGATTGATTTTTTTAACTACAAAAAAAGAGTAGTAAACAAATTTACTCACCCAAGGGCATCTTTTCTGTATCCAATTCGAATTCCAACATAAGTTTCTGCATAGTGTTCACGTCAAACATAATTTTAATCAGATCTTGTACGCGGGGATGCAACTTCGATTCAGACTCGACAATATCCAGTTTTTGAGCATCCTCCTCTCCATAGTCCATCTCAATGGGATACATTCTTCCCGGAATTTTCTTGAAGTTATGTCTCCTTCCCCACGCGTTTCCAGATTTCTCTTCATACACTTCTTCGAAGACTTGTTTGGCGTGGTACAAAGAATCCATTTTTTGAAGTTTTGTATCTGTTGAGAGAGAAAACAATGACAAAATGAAATGAAATTATGATCAGTTAACTAAATTATTATTCCTACGGTTTTTCAGATATATGTATTTAGGTCAAAAATTCACATACAATTTGGAAATCACAAAGTTGCGACGTTGCCATGCAATTTAAAATGTCCTAGAAGTTGGATAAGTGGTCATAAATAAAAATTGGCGCAGTCACAAGTACATACAAGCTATGAAAAGGATATATAACAAGTCAAATATAAGATACAAAGCAATTCAATTATTCGACATACAATATACACCAAACTTCCTGTAAGTTTAAATAAAATAAAGGAAAAAAGTGTACTACTGATACTTTGTTCATACTTACTTCCGATCGTTGTTCCAATTCTTCCCCAAGATCTAAACACCCAATATTTGCTTTTCCCGTCAGCTTCCAGCAACTGCAATTTATAATAACTGTTTTTCCCCGACTGAATATCAGTCAAACCTAAAATAGCGGTATATTTGTCATTACCACTTTGGTACACATGGGCTACATTTTCGAGCTCGGAGTCTGGATCCACTGCAGTTCCTCCTTTAAGCTTCAACTTGACGGACTTTGGTACCGATTTGGTGTAAATGCTTTGTGATTTCGACTTGGAGCTGGTGGATGCTGGCTGCGGCAAGCGTACTGTAGGCTGTAAGGATCACGACGTTAGTAACTTATATATGTAGTGTATGTAGTACTTACATCAGTTCCCCAACTGCAAATGCTCTTCTTGATGATCAGATCTGGGATCTTTCCTGAATTGTCTTTGGCTTCTTTCAAGAAATCCTCCGAAACCGCGTGGATTCCTTCGCTTTCCGCTTCACGCATTCTGCTGCCCAACTTTTCCACTTCCTCTTCTGTCGTAATGACAGCCATGACGGTTTTGTCAATTTTGGTAACGACTTTTCCTCCCAAAGATGATACTTGTTTCTTAATGTCTTCTTTACTTTTACCGGAATGTCCAATAATGACAAATTTCATTTCGTATAGAGGTGGAAGATCTCTTTTAACGCGTGGCCTTGAAGATAAAAAAATACTTTATAGCAAAACTATTATTAACAAGTTGGGTGTTTTTTTATTTTGCATGTAGACATGGAATGAAACCATAATTAGTTTTTGAATACTTTATTTTTCAAAGTGTTTTCTACCAAGGGTAATGCATTTCGGAATTTATTCCAAAGCAGGTTTGTAATGGAGCTCAGATAGACCAACAAGAAATCAAATTGACTACATCTTAATAAAATCAAGATGGAAGTCGTCAGCAATCAACTGTGAAACATATCATGGTGTAGACTGTGAAAGCGATCAGCAACTCTTGGTGTTGAACGTTTGACTTCGAAGTCCCCAAAAGAAGACCCCTAAGAAAAGTCATGTTTCTAAATCCATCCAAAATCAATGACTTCCAACCAAACCTAGAACAAGCTCTTTCTTTAGACCAAGTATATAGTGGCCCTAAGATCAAAGCAAACTTCGAGAAGCCAAAGAACATCGTGAAATTCCTTGTCCTAAATCAATAGACGTTTATAGAGTTGATTCCATGTTGATGAGGAGTATTGGATTCCATGCTAGGGCTCTATAGGATTCAGTTACATAAAAAAAAATGGTACAAGAAAATATTTTTTCACCTGTTGGACATGTGCATTGCGAATGCATGGATCCTGTGGCGCCAAAAAGTGTAAATTATATGCCATTATTTGACTTCAAAGAATATATTGCAGAAAATTTATACAAGGTGGGCAAGAATAGTTTGCCAAAGAAAAGGGGTCGACCATTATCAAATGTTAATTCACCAAGTAGTTCCATAACTGAAGCAAAAGTTCCCAAATCCAAAAGGCAGCTTACTTTGTGTCAAGATTATCCAAACAATGAAGTTTCTATAGATGCCATTGGCCACTTTCCCCAGTGGAACGATACAAGATTGTGCTATAATGACTGTTAATTAGATCTTGTGTTACATGTACTAAATGTAACATATTTTTATGTTTAAACAAAGGGAGAAATTGTTTTGTAGAATTTCACTCCTAAAAACAATAACTAGTTTAAGTGCATAAGAAGCCATATTTGAACCTGTCTATGTACATTTTAGGTTTATTGCATAGGAAGCCATATATGGCTAATTTTGTATTTTCTTAATTAGTAGAATATTGTTGTAAATTATTTGTTAAATATAATTCTTTATAACAACAAAATTTTAATTTTGCAAAAAAAAAATTTTTTTCTATCTAAAACATAATTCATGCAATAGAGGGTTAATGGGTTAATCGTAGACCGATAATTCAATAAAATTCACTAAAAAGTATTAACAAAAAAATGATCGTCCTACTTACTCAGCATTTTCCTCCTCTTTCTCTTTCTTAACACCGTTAGTAGGAACTTTTACTTTGATAATTCTATTCCTCGGTTTATATTTGTAAGATTTCAGGAACGTATAGTGTTTCAAGTCGTCGGGTATCTTGAAAGGCTTCCGTTTAGGCTCCATCACTGTCTTGTTGCATTTTGTCCACTCCGTAAGATCGCCCTTACATACGTAACCTGCGCTCGTGTACACAAACTGGCCTTTGCACGTGTCGCATGGAGCGAGAGCTCCGAACGTCATGATGTCCGCCAAGTGGTCCAATGTCTGCAAATTAATATTAATGAGCTACGAATCTTGACTAGAAGACTAGCTAGAAGATACTATATTTGGAGTAACAGCAGTAAGCGTAAACAAAAGCTGTAGAAATGTTCCTAATTTTAAATATTTTTTTGTAATGTAATGATATGAAAATATGGCATATCCAATTTAAACAAAAAAAAATAATATCATTTAAAAAATAAAATATATCCAAAAGAAATTTTTAATACATTACCATTTCTCTGCCTTTACAATGCTCTTGGCCGTTGTGTTCCAGCAAAAGCGTCGTGAGTTTATTAAATTCGCTTCCTTCGTACTGGCTAAGAGCATCCCGGTATTTATACATCAATTTATTCTGCTTTCGGTACTCCACATCTTCTTCTTGGGAGGAGCGTCCACTTCGTCTTCGACCTTGATTTTTTTCACTTCGGGGACATCTTCTTGTTTAATAGGACTGGAAAAAGACACGAAGAAGTCAGAGTGACACAGAGTAAGTAAAAAAAAACGTTTTCTCTGACGATAATTCTACTTTTTTCTCATTAGACTTAATTATTATGGCTCTGTAACATATTTACTTACACTATCGCCTTGATCACAGTATTCTGGTCCTCTTTCTTCAACCCTTTAAAACCAGGCAGCTTATCTCCTGATTCGAAGTATCCTAAGTCAGATCTAACTTGAGCAAAACAAGTAACGTGATGCCAGAGATCTTGTCCTCCATATTTTTTACCTATTTCCGTTTCAAAATCTTTTTTGGCGATACGGACCTTTAAAAAATATAAAAGATATTGAAAAAATGTTAAAAACTTGTTTTTACAGTAACAGCTTGAACAATAATAACTTAAACAATAATAATTTGCAGAAGTATTCGACGTTTATGCATAACTTCATTCCAAAACGTTATAACGTTTAGTAATGGTGCGACGAAAGCCAAAATCTCTACTATGAATATATTAAAATCGGCGAATAAGCCATTGCGGACGAACTTCTGGGTCATGACAACTTATAACGTGAATTATGACCGCTAAGATCTAGCATATTCGATTACGCAAATTCAATAAGAGGTTACCGCATGTCAGCGCCAAAAATTCTGGATTCTTGCAACACAAATTGCGACATACTGGAACAGCAAATTCAACATTTCTATTATTAAAAAAAAAAAACATCGCAAAACCACTTTTTTTCAATCTGAATATTAAATTTTAATTTGTAACTAAAATCTTTACCAGTGTTTAGTAACTTTTTTTGGGAGTTTCTGCTTTTTCCAAAAGTACATTCATAGTTCTTCGTTAATTTTTTTTATAGATAGAATTTGGACTAGCATATGTTCCAATTCATTGCAAAATTGCTAGATTCCACAAAATTTGCTTAAAAGACGGTCTGGGTATTCAGAAATGGTCGATAATGATAAAAAGAAGCTTCAAAGATCAATACTGATGAAGAGTTATAAATTTACAACAAAGACCAATAATAATAAAGAATCTCACGAACTGGATGACGAAAAACAATGCATCGTGAAGTTATCAATGAAAGTCAAATACTTTTAGTACAAAACTATTACAATATAATTGCAAAATTGCAAATTACTTAAGTCATCGGAAAAAATTCAATATTGTTTTGTTGACTTTTCCAAAAAACCATCCGAACATATACTGAATTACTATATTTAGCACAACTTACCTCATCCTTTAAAATCTTCTGTTCACATCCTCTACAAGCAGCCCTTCCAGACTTGGCATACTCAATTCTGAAATCTTTCAGAGCTTCTTTCTTCAATTTAGCATCGATTTTATCTCCAGCTCGTTTTTTCCCCTTTTTGTCTGGTACTATTGTAACACTCGACAGTCCAACTCTGCCCTTTATTTTGTCCTGGTCCTCAACTCTCAAAGATTCGTAGTGTTCAATGTCATCTACAGTCTTTGGTCTTTGTTTTTTGAAAAAGCATTCGAAGTGGAACCAATTGGGTTGTTTTCCATCGAAATGTGCAGACTATAACAATATATTAAAAATCATATCATGTAGTACTTGTCAATACTATAACTACATATTAAACTGGGAATAAGCCACAATTAAAGATAAAAATACGTTTATTGACGTTTCAATTTCCACTTCGGAAATCGTTCTCAAAATACAAACAGTAAATTAAACAAATTTTGTTTTTTGTTACATAGTGAAAAATTCTTCTAATAATTTAATTTTATCTGACTCATTTATATTGACAATTCAGACATACATTATGCATTTTAAAGTAGACGACTTTAAAATGATATTGCCAATATTGTTGAGTTGCGCTCCTGGGACGACTTTACTTATAAGATAGTTCATTCGATTACATGAAATCAACTTTAACTTGAGAATATCCGTCAGAAAAAATCATAGCATGTAATTCGTCTTTAAAAAGTCAAACACATGACATGATGACAGTAAAATTCTCCTGTTAGTGATTAAAAAAAGAAAAATCAAAGAAGCGGCTCTAATTATGTTAAATGAGGCCAATTGTGTCGCAAATTCTTCGGCAGAATGTAGTAGGATCTGGTTACCAATATTGAAAGAGGAAGTTATTAATAAGAAAATACCAGTATTAGTAAGTCAGTAACATATAGAGGATACATCATTTATGTTTTTTAAATAACGTAACATATAAAATCAGAATTTTGATGTTTGTTGAAGGTAAACTAAATTCACGAACAAATACTTACAATGTCGGGATAGTATTATGAGGTTTTTTCCTGGTTTTCCCTCATAATTTACTATGGAATCACTAACAGGAGAATTTTACTGTCATCATGTCATGTGTTTGTCTTTTTAAAGACGAATTACATGCTATGATTTTTTTCTGACGGATATTTCAAGTTAAAGTTGATTTCATGTAATCGAATGAACTATCTTATAAGTAAAGTCGTCCCAGGAGCGCAACTCAACAATATTGGCAATATCATTTTAAAGTCGTCTACTTTAAAATGCATAATGTATGTCTGAATTGTCAATATAAATGAGTCAGATAAAATTAAATTATTAGAAGAATTTTTTCACTATGTAACAAAAAAAAACAAAATTTGTTTAATTTACTGTTTGTATTTTGAGAACGATTTCCGAATTGGAAATTGAAACGTCAATAAACATATTTTTTATCTTTAATTGTGGCTTATTCCCAGTTATAAATAGTAATTAATTTACAATGCCACAAGAAAATAGCTTCAGAACAAGGTTATCAAATAGTTGCACATGGTGTTACTCACTTGGCAATTTAGATTTAAGACATCTCTTAATAGATCTAATCGATTTTAATTTTAATTCTTTAGCTAATTCATTATATATTTTTGATATTTGATATGCAAATGAATTTTTGAATTGATGAATTGTTCTGTACGATGTGGCAAAGCTGTAATTGTATTTTTGTATATTATATTGACATTATGTATGTCAGTTATGTATATAATTTTTTTAAAAAGATATGCTGGTAAAGAGTTTTTGATAATTTTGTGGAAAAGATAAGCAGCATGTAGAAATCTTCTCTTTTCCATGCTCAACCATTTTATATGTTTTAATTTGTGAGAAATAGGTTGGTGTCTTCTTACACCACATATCAGACAAAGAAACAAATGTTGAAACCACCTGAATTCTTCTCCTGTCATCTGAACTAATACAAGGCCCATACACAACACCTCCATAGTTAAATTTTGATAATACTAAACTTTCGCATGTAAGATATTTATATAAATGTAAACATTACAAAATGAATGCAAATATAGCAGAGCTTGTGTTAACCAACAATTATTATATACACTGAAACTTGGTATATTGGTATAAAATATACTACAATGAAGGAACTATTAATGTTAATGATGGAGTAGTTATTAATAATGGAACATGAAGAAAATACATATTTCTAATTTCAATGGTGATAAACATGGAAATGGTCTACCCAAATTGAGTACTAAATGCCAAATATATATCTCTGCTGTTAAAATTCACTACTCTGTGCAATTTTGAAGTCAATTAGTATCAAAGTAGATGTAAAAACCTCTGATTTTCTAAACATTTGTCAGGGGTACCTCAGGGTTCAATCTTAGGTCCAATCTTATTTACTTTATACACCACCAATATTGCTACCACCTTGAATACCTGTAAATTTCATCTCTATGCAGATGATACTCAAATTTACCACTCATTTTACCCAGTTGACAGAGCAAGTGCTATTGAGATTGTTAATCAAGATATTAAATCATTGGTTGATTGGGCAAGAAATCATGCATTCAATATAAACTCTAAAAAAACTAATCTGGTGGTTTTTGGTCCAAACAGGATGTGTTTGGAGATGAGTAACATCATTGAAATAGTTGTTGATAATGAAATCATTAAACCTGTAACTAGTGCAAAAAATCTTGGTTTAACTTAAGATAATCACCTCAAATTTACAAAACATATTAACACCTGAGTGAGTAAAGCACTTCTCAGTTTAAGAACAAGTTATCATTGTGTCTTTGTCTGATCTGTGGTGTAAGAAGAGACCAGAATATTTCTCACAAATTAAAACATGTAAAATGGTGAGCATGAAAAAGAGAAGATTTCTAAATCCTGCTTATCTTTTCCACAAAATTATCAAAAACTCTTTACCAGCATATCTTTTTTAAAAATTATATCCAGAACTGACATACATAATGTCAATACAAGACAGAAAAATACAATTATAGCTACGCCACATCATACAGAACAATTCAAAAACTCATTTACACATCAAATATCAAAAGTATATAATGGATTAGCTAAATAATTAAAATTAAAATCATAGAAATCAATGTAGAACTTTTGAAGAATTAATTCAATTTAATAGGACAAGATTTTATTCACTTTTTGGAAGCGTTTTTGAAGTTTTTGGATACCAAAATCCTTATTTGAAAGAAAACTAAATCAGATGGAAATCGGACATTGGTTATTTACTAAATTTAATGAAATTAATTAAAAGTCTAACTTTAATACAATGTCCACCATTTCTGTTTTTTTAGCAGAATTAATCTAATGAAGCAAAACATTGGACAATGTGACTTGGCCAGTTTGGCAACTTGTAATTATTAAATGTCCAAGATGATGACATGTTTAGCATTTAAATGCCCTTCACACAGATTTTACTACCAGTTTTTGAAGACTTTTTGCTATGGAAATACTACAGTGGATTATAAATCCATTTTGTGACATTGCAGCAATGGATGTCAAAAAGAACTGATCACAATTAGCAGCAGCGAAGAACTTCAGTGGAGTTCAGAGAGGAGAATCAACAGTTCTAGCTTCAGAAAGCTATATATTTTTTGATCTTGCATTAATAAAAGCCTCATTCTCTAAAAAGGTATTTCACTACACAGTAGAAGTAACTACATACACCTGTAGTTACCAGAGTAAAGATAAAGCTGGAACCTTCCTTTCACAACAAGCTAATAGCTTCAAAATTTACTATTTAGAACACATGCACCTGCCTCAAGTTAAGTTTTTAATTTTCTCCAACAATTTGAAATTATATAAAGTAACAGTATAGTTGAAGCCATAATTAGAATGTATCACATATAGAAAATAAACTCATATTTGTTTATTCTAAAAATAAATACAGTAAAATTTACCTATATAATGCATTACAATATACAAGTTATCAACAAAGTTTTTGCCCCAGATATTAAAATCAGATCAAAAATTTATTTAACATTAATTTTGTACCATATTCAAGGCCATGACAGTAATTATTAAAAATCGAACAAAATGGTTTGTTTACTATAATTGTGTATAAACCAAATAAACAAGAAACAACACTGAACACGATTATAAATTTATTTGGAGTAAGTTTGGCTTAATGCATGCAATGATAGAATAAAATCATCATTATATTATAACCTTCCATCAATTCATTGTTAGGATATTCTGGGATCCTCGTATACAAATAATAGCAGAATATGAGAGAAAAGAATTTTTATTACTTCTAAAAATAACAAAAATCTTGAGATAAATAACCAAATCTTAAGCTCTTGAGTACATAATCTTGAGAACAAATTATAATATACTACAATCAATGCTAATAAATGAATTTATCGTGAAATATGAAAATGTATAATACCTGGACCATAACAGCAAGCCGCAATGTTCCTTGTCCTATCGGGGACCTACAGCCTTTGCAGCTGGCACGACCACTTTTGGCATATTCTGCCAGATACGGTAGGTCAGTTTTGCTCATTTTTGGATTAAAAAAATGAGTTTTACAACGTTCAGATTGATTACAAAAAAAAAACAGATAAACAAATACCGGTAGATTTAACAAGCACGACTTGTATGACTCTATGTCAAAGTCAAATGTCGTATTTGTCGAATTTTCCCGCGCTGTTAGGAGGATAAAGTACTGCCAATGGTACAGTACAAAATTTTCCTTTCAAGATCGTTTTTACATTTGTTTTTGTTAATTTGATAAAAACACAGATAAAACTTAAAATATTAAAAAACCGCCCTTGTTATTTATGTTATAATATAAAAAAATGCACGCAAAGAACATTAAAGTACTTTCACTTGTTATAACGACTCTGGTGGCGATCTTATTTGTTATTCCCTTGGATTTTGTTGTCAAAAATTTTAAAATGCTAAATTATATTTGATATATAGAAATATTATGAAAAATATAATTTTAACTTTACAGTATAGGAACGAAAAATAATTCAGATATATTTTTCCCACTATTATTCAGCTACAACAAAATTAAGGATTATGTGAAACAGGATAAGAAGAGGTGTTGAGTTGAGGAATGTTAGAGGTTAGATATAAACATAACCTTTGTTTTTGTAATTTTTTTTAAATTAATTTATTCACCAATTATGTCTCTCTGCGAGGCCGAAAAAACATTCGTGCTACATGGAGTAGAGGTAAATACTTATTCTTCGAACCAATAAAGCTTTGTTTTAATCTATATCTGCGAAAATTACATTTTCAGGAAAATTTTAGAGTAGATGGTAGAGAGAGGGAAGATTATAGGCCCATGGAATTAGAAACTGACATTATATCTCACGCATTTGGTTCTGCAAGGCTTAGGCTAGCAAACACTGACGTTCTAGTAGCTGTTAAGATTGAAGTGGATGTACCTTTTCCAGAGACACCTAATTTAGGAAAGTTGGAATTCTTTGTTGATTGGTAATTAGTTATATTCCGAATGTCTAACGAATCCTTCATTGTGGTATTTTTAGTTCAGCAAATGCCACACCAGATTTTGAAGGCAGAGGTGGCGAAGATCTTGCTATAGCTATTTCAAATACTTTAAGCTCAGCATACTCTTCTCCACTGGCATTTGATTTGAGGAAACTTTGCATTTTGAATGGACGAAAGTGCTGGAAGATATATGTCGATATTTTGGTATGAATTTAAATTTGTTTACTAGTTTTTTTGTAATACTCAGTTCGTTATTCCCAGTCCGAACTATCTAGTGAATTTAGTAATTATTTTTTTGGGAAGTTAGTTACTTTTTGCCAGACTGAAAGTGACTGGAAATTATTATACAACCAAGCACACATACTCATAGCCAATATTAATAGTAAACAAACTAAGTAGTAAATAAAATAGAACTTTGCGAATTACCAAGAATCAATATTTATTTATCTGCAACCTTATAGTAAATAGTTATGTTAAATTATAACAACTAAAATATATTTTTTAAATATATACTATCCAAAATTTGATGGGTTTAGTATGCCCTTCCACTATTTAGAATAATTCTTCTTTTTTCAAAGAAAGAAGTCTGCAATAGTAGTATATGTGAGCTATTAATACTGAGAAGTAGAAATTGTTGTGTTATAGGTTTCTGACAGTAAATGTATCAAAATATGCCTGGGCTAAGCGAATGGAGTATACTAATAATATTATTTACAGATTTTGGAATGTGGAGGTAACTTGTTTGATGCTGTTTCACTAGCAGTCAAGGCCGCACTTTGGAACACACAAGTTCCCCTTGTTAAAAATGTTAATATTGATGGTAATAATGTAGAAATTAATGTCTCAGATGAACTGTATGACTGCAAAAGACTGGAGGTCCAAAATGCACCTATTATGGTAAGTAATATTAAAATTTGTGATTTTTTCCTTTTCATTTAGATTTTTGTATTGTTTTTGGTCTCTTAATTACTATCAGAAATGTGTAAGATATAAAAATTCAAGTAAAATCTTTGTACAATATATTTTTTGTAGTTTGTAAATGCATTTCTGTTATTTATCATTGTATAAAAAATTTTTTGGTTGGAAATATGACTGCATATTACTAGATCCATTCGTGTAATCAATTGTTAATTCCAATATTATTCTTATGTAGAAAAACAGACATTTAAATGTTTTTACAACTGTTTCCATATGCCACATTTGTCCATCAGTCAACTGATAAATTTTATTTCATTTGCAGCTAGTTTTTAAGAATTTTAGCTCTAAAATGTTGAAATGATTCTAATTTTTACAAATCAAATAAAAAATTACAATATTTCTATATAATAAAGTCTGTAATTGTTTCTTTGTGTATTTTTAAACTGTTTCTTTTGCAGGTGACAGTTTGTAAGATAGGAGAAAAGTGTATAGTGGACCCAAATGCAGCCGAAGAGCAATGTTCAGTCGGTTCAGTGGTAGTAGCTGTCTCTGGAGATAAATTTAGCACAGTTTATCAAACAGGTACAGGATCATTGCATCCCTCAACGCTAATTGAAAGTTTGCAGTTAGGCTTGAGTGTAGCACAAAGATTGGATGAAGCTTTATGGAGGACTTTGGAAGAAGTCAAGCCTGATCAGGATATTGGATTTCTTAAATAAATTGATTATCTAGATATACCTTTGTTTTTTATTTATTTCTAAGACTTTAAAATATATTTTTCCAATAATATTTACATGTTTCCTTAACACAAGTAGTCATAAATTCATACATGGTATTTCTATAGATTGTCTCAAAGTAACTAGTCTGTACAGGGTAAATGCACAACATAGATGCCATACTTCTTAGCAAACTTGTATTAAAATAAACACCACTTCTTACTTCTTAGCCTAATCCATCTTTTGTGTTGAGGGTAGCTTAAGTACTAATGCCCACTAACTAACCTGCCTGGGTTACTTCTGGCAGTGGTTCTCAAACATAAATAATATTTGCTATAACATACTTGGGTTAAATTAAAATAAAATAGAAATTAAGAAATGCCTTTTATTTATGTCACACAAGCAGTTTGTTTTTAATTCTACAGTATGTGCTAGCGATACAAACCATTTGTTTATAGATTTAAATAAAAATCGAATAAAATAAAACTAAAATATAAAGAGCCATTTTATTTATTTATTGTTCCGTGCAAAAGTTAAGGGGGAAGGACTTTTAAAAAACCGCACTGCATATGTTGTGAAATATAGCTGAAAATAAAAGAAGTCATTGTATTTAATTTCGTATGTAAGTAATCCTAATTGTACACCATTATATTCAGTTCCTTTTTCTGTCAATCGCTGTCAAATTTAGTTTCTGCTTAACTAACATCATCACTGTCATCACTATCTCCGTTATTTATATTTATAATAATTGGTTCGATATCATCCAACAAATTGTCAATTTCCCACATTATTTTTTTGTTGCTATTACATGGTTTAATAGTTTTTCCATTTCTCTGGCGTAATGACTGGTAAGCTGCTGTAATTAAATTTCGCATTTCATCTTTAAAATTCGCGTTGTGTCCAGCTATATACCGTTTCACTTCACTCCAAATTATGTCGATGGGATTGAGTTCACAGTGATAGGGTGCGAGCCTCGGAATCTTCACATTGTGCTATTTGGGTCCTTTGACAGAAGCCATTCTGGAATATCTTTTTTTAGCGTTGAACTGTTGGGAATTTGTTCTAACTTTCTGCTGTGGTAGGAGGCATTGTCCATTACCACAACAGTTTTTTCTGGCAAATTTAGCATTAAGTTATTTTCGAACCAATCTTCGGTCCATTCATTTCGTCGTGGTAGTTCTGAGTATTTGTCTTGCATCACGAACTGTTGGAGCTTTTAATACTGCTGTCAGACCATAAACAAAAGCGTCGCGATGAGATGTAATTATTTTATCTGTTGAGAATGTAATACATTATATTGTATACACAGATAATTGGTGTAAGAGTAAGCGGAACGCACCCATAGTGTCATGGGTTGACATGACAGACAATAATAGTAATGTCAATGGGTATCATGTAGTTGTAGGTGGTAGTAAGAAGTATGGTGGCTTAAGTTAGGTTAGTTAATTAGTATGTATGTTATAGGAAATAAAGCCTTTTATAATAGTAGTAAAGTACGACTATTTATTTTCCAAATCCACACCTTAACATGGTAGCAGAGCGTGGTTGGAAAGTCGTACCTTTTACAACAGAAAAAGTTTGGTGCAGTTTGAAAAAAAAAAAGGTGTGACACATGATGGCAGGTAGTAGTGATTTTAGAATACCTATATTCGATGGGGAGAATTATAAAATGTGGAAAAAAACGTCTTATGCTATTTTTGAAAATGAAGAAGTGTGATGTTGTGGTAACCAGACCGAAAAATGAAAATGATGATACAAATTGGGATGACGATGATGTAAAAGCAATGAATTATATATGCGGTGCAATATCGGATCGACAGATGGAGTACATCGACGAAAAAACTACGGCGTATGAGATGATAAAGAAATTTGATAATTTATATTTGAAAGAATCAACGGCATTGCAGATAGTATGTAGAAATAACTTGGAAAGATTAAAATTGAACAACTATGGAGACTGTGCAACATTTTTTAGTGACTTCGAAAAAGCTATAAACGAGTTAAAAAGCGCGGGTGCTAGTGTGTCTGAAAAGGAAAAATTGAACTATATGTTAAACACGTTGCCAGAGTCGTACAGTTATATTGGTGATTTAATAGATACATTAAAAGAAGATGATCAAACTGCAGACTACGTAAAAACTAAGGTTATGATGTCCGAATTAAAAAATCAAAACAATGATTTTGGAAGAAAATCCAGTACATTTGTGGTAAATAAAGGTCGACAGGATCGATCATGCTTCCAGTGTGGCGAAGTTGGTCATTTCAAGCGAGATTGCAAAAATGGCGCCAATCAAGCGTCGGGTAATGGCGGACAAACGACAAGCAGTAGAGGCTGGTGGAGAGAAACGCGAGGTCGACAAGAAGCCGGAAGAGGAAGCTACGTCAGAGGACGTGGCCACTCACGTGGACAGCGCGGAACGCATGGAACAAGTGCACAGCGGTTCAACCGACAAGGACAGAAGAACGAAGAGCGAAACAGTGCTTCTTGGCTTACAACAGTAGCTCTTGGTAAGGATATGTCAGTTATTGCACAAAATACTGAAATAGGTAATGTAAATAATTGTATTGAAATAAAATGGCTTTTAGATAGTGGTTGTACAGACCACATTATTAATGATGAAAAATTATTTGATAAATGTAAATTACTTAAAGATCCCATTAATGTTTATTTAGGAGATAATAGGGTTGTAAAAGCTACTAAAATTGGAAATGTTTTAAGTTACTTTGATGCTTTTGGTAAAAAGAGTTTAGTAGATATGCAAAATGTTTTCTATGTTAAAGATATGAAATCAAATTTGATAAGTTATAGCAAAATAACAGAAAATAATAAGATTATTTCTCTAGGTAATATTTCAAAAGTTTTTGATAAACTTGGTAATATAACAGCAGTTGCTTTAAAAAATAATGGCTTATATATTATGAAAAGTAAATTAAAATCAGTTGAATTGCATGTAAATGTTGCAAATAAAGATATGAATAATATGAATCAAAAGGAAAAATGGCATCGTTTATTAGGTCATGTAAATTTTAAATATTTGAATATTTTATCTAAAGATCAGCTGTTGAATGGAATTCCTAATGAGTTTGAATCTGAATTTATGAAATGTAAGATTTGTATTGAAAGTAAAATGCATAATATTCCGTTTGTAAACAGTAGAAAAAAAGCTAAAGATATTTTAGAGATTGTACATACTGATGTTTGTGGGCCTTTTCGAACTACTGGGTTTAAAGGTGAAAATTATTTTGTTTCTTTCATTGATGATTATAGTAAGATTTCTAAAGTATATGCTATAAAATCAAAAGCAGAAGTATGTGATTGTTTGAATGAATATACGAATGAAAGTGAAAATTTGACTGGAAAGAAAATAAAGATTTTAAGATGTGATAATGGGAAAGAATATTTGAACAGTAAAGTCTACAGATTTGCAAAAGAAAGGGGTATAGTAATTGATAATTGTCCTACATATGTACATGAATTGAATGGGACTGCAGAACGGTTTAATCGAACTATAATGGATATGTCAAGATGTTTGTTGGCTGAAGCAGATATTCATAAAAAATATTGGCCTGAAATAGTTTGTGCTGCGGTTTATTTGAAAAATCGTACTTTATCTGATACAATTGAAAAGAAAACTCCATATGAAATATTTTTTGGACAGAAACCTGATGTTTCTAATTTGCGTTTGTATGGAAGTAAAGTTTTTGTACGAAGACCAGAACAGAAGAGAATCTCTAAATGGGATAAGAAAGCTGATATGGGAATTTTAATTGGTTATAGTAATGTTGGTTATCGTGTATTATTAAATGGCAGAGTCATTGTTGCTAGACACGTGGATATTGTTGAAGAAAACGTTAAGTGTATAGGTTTAGACTTTAACGAATCAGATAATGATAATAATGAAGAGTGTTACCCTGATAAAATTGATGAAAGCTCTGAAAATGACTCAATAGATGAAACTTTTGAAAGTACAAATGAAAGTATGGATGATAGTGTGAATAAAAATGAACCTGAGTTACCTAGATCTCACAGAGCCAAAAATCCTCCAAAGAAATTTGATGACTACTATGTATATAATAGTAGTATTTTTGTAAATATGTGTAGAACTGATATACCACATACATTTGAGGAGGCGATAAATTCTAATGAAAGTAAGTATTGGAAAACAGCTATGGACAAAGAAATTGATAGTTTAAATAAAAGTAAAACTTGGAAATTGGTTAAAAATGATACAAACAAAAATATTCTGGATGTTAAATGGGTTTATACTAAAAAGTCTGATAATACTTATAAAGCTAGATTGGTTGTACGAGGTTTTCAACAAACTGATGAAATTGATGATATTTATTCACCTGTGGCTAAAATGCAAACATTAAAGATTTTATTGTCATATTGTTGTCAAATGGGCCTAGTAATTGAACAAATGGATGTTGAAACAGCCTTTTTAAATGGTAAAGTAATTTCTGAAGTTTATATTAAACAACCTAAGGGTTATGAAGATGGAACAAGTAAAGTTTGTAAATTAGTTAAAGCTTTATATGGTTTAAAAGAAAGTCCAAGGGCATGGTATGAGTGCCTAGATACATTTTTGATAAATTTAGGTTTTGAAAGAAGTAATATTGATCCTTGTTTGTACGTTTATAAAATTGGAAATGATATTATTTACTTATTAATTTATGTCGATGATTTATTGATTTGTGGTAGAAATTTAAATGAAATTAAAAGGATTAAAATTTTATTATCAGAAAAATTTAAAATGAAAGATATTGGTGAAATTAAAGAATATCTTGGTATTACTGTTGATTATGATTCTAGTAAACATGAAATGAGATTGGATCAAAATAAATATATTGAATTATTAAGGAAAAAATATAATTTAGAAAAAGGTAAACTGTATAATACACCTATGGAAGTAAATTTAAAAATTGATAAATCTGATCATTGTGAAAGAAATATTAAATATAAAAATTTAATTGGTGCACTATTATACATAAGTTCGGCAACA